AGTCATTGCCTATAAATCTGATAGTGGAGAGTAAGGGTGCTAGGCTCTGTTTATATGAGCTTTTAAAAAAAAACTTTTTTATGAGTTATTTTTTAGAATAACTTTTTTTGAAAGTTAAAATTATTTTGTGTTTGGATGCAATATTTAAAAAGTACTTTTAAGTAAAAATATATTTTGAATGTTAAAATAAAAAAGCACTTCTAAAGAATAAAATTATATTGTGCCCTTAAAAAAATCTCCCCTTTCCTGTCACCCTCTATCCCTAATTTTTCTTTCCTACTCTTCAAAACACCGCCCCGCCGGCAGTCCCCTGCTAGCGCCTTTCCGATCCACGGTCGCCGTCATCGCCTCCAGCACCTCTCGCACGTCCGCCCCTATCTCTCCGCTCGCCGCTGCTGAAAATACTGTACAAATCGAAATTATTCACACAAACTGCACAATAAAATGTTTCAATTCAACCAACAAACAAAACATATCAGGGTTCAAAATGCCGTATCACCTTCAACATGGCTTTTCAATTCCGTTACATTTTCTCTCCTCTCTTACCCAACCTTTCACTTCATCACTCCACGAAGTCCACATGCCAGAGGACATAATGGCATTGAATAGAAGTTTCAGATTCTTCCTTCCATTTTGTTCCAATCAGTGTTTTTAGGAAAGCAAGTAAAAAACGCTCACCAAAGATTCCACTCTTCTCTGTTTTATGCACAAATAAAAGAAAGAGAAAAAAACAATAGCAGCAAGGAAGGGAAGAGAAAGGCGATGAAGGAAATGAAAAAAATGAAAAATGAATGGAAGAAAAGAGAGAGAATACCGAGAAAAAAATGGAGCGGTGATGAAGGAATGAAAAGTTGGGAGAAGAAAAAAAATAAAGTTGAAAGAGAGGAAGAAGAATGTTGCGACTGAGATGGATGTCGAAGGAATTGGATAAAACTGGAAGTAGAATTTTTGAATTACTTTTTAGCTTTTGCTTCTTTCGTTAAAATTTTTAACTTGTCAAAAAAGTTAATTTTTGACTTTTTGACTGACTTTTGCTTTTACTAAAATTCAAATCCAAATAAGTTTAAAATTTTCAAAAACACTTTTTTTTATAAAAAAAGTAGCTCCTGGGGGGCGGGCCAGAAGCCCATCCAAATACACTCTTAATGGGCTGAGGCGAGTCGAACTTTGGTCTGAAAAGGTCAAGCCTGTATTTAAATGTGTTAGCCTTATCAAACATGTTACCTGTTATGAATATAATTCTCGGCCTGACCTGACTTATTTACAAAAAATAAAAGCATAGTTTAGTCTGTTTAAGAAAAATAAGATAACAAAAATTATCCAAATAGAATATACAATCAATAACACTAGTAATTCCATAAATATTCATAAATTTAATGTATATCCAAACAATATAATATAGAACAAAATAATTCAAAAAATCTGTTTAATCAATAAAATGAGGTGAAATAGATTGAAGAGAGAGAGACAGCTATTACAAATAGTATAAAAAATATAAAATAAAAATAAAAAGTAATATACTAGACCAACTTGAAAGGTTTTAAAGCTGAACTTTTGAATTCGAACATGAGACTTTTTTATTAAACGAACTTTAATACAATTTCAAATTTGTTTCCAACAAATCAATTTTAGATATGTATCCTAGGCCTTTACGACTCGAATCAAAAGAAGTCTCGTTCATTTACCCCCTCTAATGAACAGTGCCGATAATGGGAGCAGGACTAGTTATTGTGTGTCAAAGTATGAACGCATCTTTGAATTTATATTTGATACAACAATAATATTTAGATTCGAACCTATAAATTAATACAGATCACCAAAATCTCTAAGGAAGATACTAGAAACGTTTGCATCATCTATAGGTGATGATTTGTCGCATATATGGAGACCCAACTCTAGGCCATGGGTAAACAATCCAAGGCAATCAGCAACCCTAGTACTTTCCTTAAAATTATACAAACTCGAACCTGCTATCCTTTAATCAACATCAGAGTTGCCACAATCTTAATTGGCAAATTGCGGTGGCATCACAAGAACCTTGAGATATATCATCCCAAAAGCTAGCTCAAAGGGTGGGAGTATCCAAGGCCTTATAAACTCCACATTAGTTGCACATACAACCAATGTGAGACTATATATCTCAATACGCCCCCTCACACGAGAGCCCATTGGGCTTGAAGAGTGGACAATGCAACAGGCCCAGCCTACCTGTACTAAGAAATGCCACAAGAGAAAGTGGGGGACGGCGAGGCTCTGATACCATGTAAAGAACCTTGGGATACACCACCCCAAAAGCTAGCTCAAAGGGTGAGAGTGTCCAAGGCCTTATTAACTCCACATTAGTTGCACATACAACCAATGTGGGACTATATATCTCAACAACTATTCACCAACTTTTTTACCTAGATGTCACGCGAACAGTGTTATTTCCTAATATGCCACGGGAGCAAGTTCGTTACCCTGTGTAGCGAACTCGGTTTGATGAGGTGTCACATTTTTAATGGATAACAAGTATCAAATTTTTTAAAAAAAAAAAAAAAAAAATTGAAGGTCGCCTACCATGTAGGCAAACTTGGTTAAAATCAAGTTAGTGTCCACTAGATACGTGACACGTCAGCAAACTGAGTTCGCTACACCGGGTAGCGAACTTGCCCCATGGCAGATTGAGAAATAACACTGTTCGCGTGATATTTAGGTAAAAAAGTTGATAAACAGTGATATTTTAGTCACTGTTCCGCAAATTGCACGGTACACAGTAAGTCAACCTCAATGCAAGACATAGGAATAGTGGTAGAGATAAGGAGAGTTATGGAGGGCAATCGTCACCTCAATCTCATATAAATATTAAAGAAAATATAATATAACATAAGTTTCTTCCCTTCGAATTCAGTCTTTCGATTTCCGATCTTATTATTACTCATATATAAAGAGAACTTTGATGATGCTTCGAATTTGTTTACATATTGACCCCGTCTCCTTTTAGATTATTTTTTTGGCTTCACCATTGAAAAGGAATAATTTGGCTACATGTTTACTGTTTTTTTTTTCTTATGTATTTTTCTTTCTTATTTATCTTTATTTTTACTTAATTTTTTTATTTTTAATTATTTATTACTTTTTTTTTAATTTATAGTATCATTTATATTTTTAATTTCTTTTTATCTTTTTTTTTTCCATCAATTTTTTTGTATTTTTTATTTAGGTTCAAAATTAATTCTTAGAACCAAATCTGAACTGATTCAAAACCAATTTTGAGCTGAACTCAATTGTTTCAGAAAAACAAACCAATTCAATTCTCTAAATTGAATTATTTTTTTCAGTTCAATTTAGTTTTGCAACAAAAAAAAGCCAAACCGAACTGCACACTTTAAGAGCATGTTTGGATGAACTTTTTTTTATTTAAAAGTTACTTTTTAAAAAAAAAAAACACTTATCGAAAAAAGTCTGTTTGGATGTCTGCTTTTAAAAAAAGCAGAAGTTATAAAAAAAGCAAAAATCTACTTTTTTCAGAAGTTATAAATTTTAGCTTTTAAAAAAAGCAGAAGTCAAAAGCCAAATATTTTTTTTTTTAAAATCAAATATTTAAAAAAAAATCTAAATAGTTATAACTAAGTACTTTTAAAATAAGAAAGTAATAAAATGACTTTTTTAAAAGTCAATAGAAACGCACCCTAAGTAGATTTAAATGTTTTACCAACATGTTTACCAAAAAAAAAAAGAGTTTTATTAGTATCATGTTATATAACCCAATAACACTTTCCTACACACACAATTAAGAGTGGGGTCCACATGTTTTTTTTCTGTTACATCATTCCACTTTCTCTCTCTTTTTTATTGTGATTTGTGAGAGTAGAAAAATTTTCTTATATCCTACAACATTATACTTATAAAACCCAAAAAAAAAATGTTTTACCAACATATCCTATCTTTTCATATCTATCTAACCGCCAAACGAGCCCTTCATGTTAAGCAAAGTAATTGAATTACAACATTCAAATCCCGCTTGTTCATTATGTTTTATGTGCGTGGGTGCAGTGAAATTAACAACATCTCAAGTCAATTGAAGAATTCAAGTTTTTTCCTTGCATGTTATGTTATTAATTTTCAGGTGAAATATTTTTGTTCATGAAATACTAGCTTAATTATGGCTGTAACTCATAAATTTTCATCTCGGATCTCTAAATTACATGTTTGCATTATTAATTCATTTTATTTTTTTAAAGAATTTCACTTGAAAAACTATCTTTTGATTATTAATTACGTTGAAAACAAAATAGATTGTACACATGTTTTTTGGCCAAAAGTTTATTATGTTTAATACATTTTATAATAAATTTATCTAAACATGGAATATGGTAAAAGTATTAGTAATAGACATCTACATCTATCATTACAAAATGGGAACTAGAAAATACACCAACAAACGTATAATTAATGGAAAAAGTACAACTTTATGTTATTTTTAATGAAACTATGTCATTTTGTTATTTTTTTTTATAAAATTTGGAAGAAAAAAAAAGTGGAGCAAAAAGAATATAAAAGTACACCAAAACGATATAATTTTATTAAAAATAACATAATTTTATGTCATTAAAATATTAAAATGACAAACACTTTTTCTATTACGGAAAAAGTATAAAAGAATGTAAGAACACACCAAAACGATGTAAATTTATTAAAAATGACATAACTTTGTGTCATTTAAGATAACAAACACTTTTTTCATAATTAATACTAAAAGTTAAATTATACTATTTGCAAATTGCAACATACATCAACTTATTAAAAATAACAATTTTATCTAAAAAGGGTAAAAAAAAAAAAGAGCTTGGGCTGACCAAACAAAATTCTGAAGAGCCCAACATGTTAAGTCAGCTTCATGTATATGCTGTTATCAAACACCACTGTCCACAGCCACGAATCTAGGAACTGTGAAGCCACTTGCTGCGGCCATTAGGTTAATAAACTAAAAGCCCATTGTTGACACTGAACAACGAATCTGAACACGTAACTAACGGTTCAGATCGAAGCATTATCCATCAACGACGGCATAAGATCTATCAGGAGCATCAAGTGCCATGGACACGCCAACACCCACTGCAGCGGTTGTATAAAAACAGCACCTCACGTTTGGTGCCCTAATTCTCAAATTCCAATTCTCGATTTACCACCAAAAATTGTCACTAGAAGAAAGCAGAAGCAGAGTTTCATTTTCGTTAACTCTCTTCTCTGCAACGTAGCTGTTTATCTTCCCTTCAGGTACTCGGAATGCCCCCTCCATTCTTGATTAGGGTTTAGAATCTGAAACCCTAGGGATTTTAGTTTATTTGAAAACATTTGTGAATGTGTTTTTAATGGTTATTTGTTTATTTCCAAATGCTGTTATCTCATTATGTCCGCATTAGATTCTCTGTTGCTGTTGATATTGCATTTCGAATTCTTGTTACTGTTATTTGATACTGTGATCTTCGTGCGCTCCTTGCGCACGGGAATTTACTTTTCAATTAATGTTTCACGTTGAACGGCTTCTAAAATTGGTTAATCTTTATTGTGTTTTTTCAGATTTTTCGGGTGAAGGTAAAAGCCTTTTGTTTTAAGTATGGGAGATAGCGAAACTGTAGTTGCTGAAACATCTATGGCTGAGACTTATGCTTCGGCTGGATATGCTGACACTGTCTCAAATCCTGTTCCCGAGGCTGGTGATACTGTTCCTCAGTCCGCTGAAGAAGCTGCTATGGGCAATTCAACTTACGGATTTGGTTATTCTAATGTTGGTGATGGGAATGCATACGCTGGGGATCCTAATTCTGTCCTACAAGAAGCCCAATTCAATGCAACAGATGATTCCAAGCAAGCTGTTGGAGTGACTGATGCTAATGTGGCCTCTAGTGGGATTGGAAACACAGCTACAGAGTCTGCTCTAGTTTCTGACTACAATTCATCTGTAAATGGCGGCGTTGTTGGTGAAGTGGCTAATGAAGCAGGCCTCGAAAACGGGAATGCATTGGAGAATATTGATGGGTCAGCTGATGAGAAGCAGCTTGCGGATGGCTATGGTATGATTTTTTCTCTTACCTATAAAAGTTGTGAATAAAGTTATCCTTGCCTTGACTATTATTTTAATTTTGTACAAAAAACTTCAGAATTCAATATTGAGGCTAGGTATAGAACTTGTAGGTGTATAATCAAGATCAAGACCTTAGGATTAAGTGGTTTATTAACTAGAAAATATTTGATGCAGCCCTTGCAGCTATTTCCCTTTTTGTTGATATTTGATAATTAGTATTGTGTTATGATCTTCCAAAGCAAGTTGCATATCAATGTTGATAATTAACACACCATATATACATATAAGAGAAAAATAAGAGATTTTTAATCTTCAATGAGATCAAGCTTTATTTTTCATACACTGGAGGTGGAGTTTAAGGCTGTAAATAAGTGGTCTAGTTTACATTTGACCAAGTTTAAACTCATAAATTGATTTTGATGTCAATCTTTGATTTGATGAATAGTTTTTTGTGTGTATAAATTAAGTTTTTACATCATCATAAACATCAACACCACCTTTATCCCAAACTAGTTGGGGTCTTAAAAATTGATTTCATTTTGATGGTTGTCTAGTGCAAGAAGATTTATGACTTCAGCTTTGTAATTTGGGGGTGTGTCTTAAGTCACTTCTACAACTATTTTTTCCTTAGTTATTAACTTATTGATAGAAATAAAAATTGGTACTGAAACTTTTCTGTTCAAGGATGTCTTTCATCTTACTTATCCTGTGCTTAATATATGCGGGTCTGCATTCCATAGTTCTTATTTTGTTGTGCTTCCGAAATTTTTCACTAACATGATGCTATTGAACCAAAATATAATTTTACCCTATTCATTTGTTTGCACTGTTAAGCAGCTGCCTTGTCTGCTGAAGAAGATCGACTATGGAATATTGTAAGAGCTAATTCTTTAGATTTTACTGCTTGGACCACCTTGATTGAAGAGACAGAGAAGGTGGCAGAGGTATTTGACCTAAATTTTGAGACTTGAATTACATATTGGGAACTGTTAGTTTTCACATATTTCAGTTTTGGCATTGACTGGAAGCTTTTGACTTGTGAATTTTAATGGTATTGTCAACTTCAGAGTTATATGATGCAATGTCTTGTTTGCATATGTCACTTGTGCTGTACTTATCATTGCATATAAGGGATGGGATTACTTTTATTTTTGTTGGGGTAAATTTGAGTGGATGGATTGTTACTGTTGTGTATCTAGTTCCTCTGGTTATTAGGAAATAAATTTTTTTTCAATTTGTTTTTATGGTTCAAGTTGGCTTCAGCCAAATGCATGTGATGTTTTCCTTTTTGAAAATTCTGAGGTATTTTTGTTACTCCTATTACTCCTCAACTATTTTTGTTACTCCCTTCTTTTGTCTACCTCATTATGTGGATGTTTGATATTCTTGCAATTTTATTTTCATTTGATGACTTAATTTTATGTATTTTATCCTTTGGTACCCATATTTTGTGTTCTGATACTCACTAAGTTCATTCTTTTATGATTTATCCATTCAAGGACAACATTTTGAAGATTCGAAGAGTTTATGATGCTTTTCTAGCAGAATTTCCTTTGTGTTATGGTTATTGGAAGAAATATGCTGATCATGAGGCGCGTCTTGGCTCTGTTGATAAAGTTGTTGAAGTGTATGAGCGCGCTGTTCAAGGGGTTACATATTCGGTGGACATGTGGTTGCATTATTGCATTTTTGCTATAAGCACGTATGGAGATCCAGACACAGTTCGTAGGTAATGGATGCTTAGTTATTTGTTTCAACTTTTTTTTTTTGGCGTTGGGAGATTTTTCTGATTTTCCATTCACTAGGCTCAGATGTTTCTCGCCTGCTCTTTCTAACCTAATTTCAGAATGCGTGCAACAGTGATATCTCCCTTATATGGCGGAAAAGCTTTGATGGGATTGCATATCAGAATGTTTTCCATTCTGATGTTTAAATCCTTGGTTTTGAGTCCGCTATATGTGGTAGTTGTTTGAAATTTTAGTGTCATTTTTCCCAATATACCTTTCCATTTGATTTCAAAGCCCATAGTTCTGTAGTTTTTTTTCCTGTTGGAACGGTAGCTGTCTTTATCTTTGACACTCTGAGGTGCATCAATTTGCAAATTGCTGCTGGGAAGATCTCGTCTGGTTAATGGCTAAGATGGCCTCTATGACTGCTCCATTTCTCGGACATAGTATGATTTTTTGCAGGAAGGTAAATGCAGCGTTTGGATGTCTTATATGATGTTACGAGTGATTTGTTTGTTCCCCTTGAACACTAGTGCTGCTGTCTCCCATATATGGATGTGCATCAGTAAGTAGATGCTTCAAGTCAAATATGAACAAGAACTGCACTTTCACATGTTTCAGGCTTTTTGAACGAGGATTAGCTTATGTTGGAGCAGATTATCTTTCTTTTCCTCTTTGGGATAAATATATTGAATATGAGTACGTGCAGCAAGACTGGGCCCGCCTTGCCTTGATCTACACCAGAATATTAGAGAATCCAAACCAGCAGTTGGATCGGTATTTCAGCAGGTGATTTCTTGTTTTAATAGTATTACTCCTCCGCCATTAATTTTGAAAAAAAGTAGTTACTGTTCTTGGTTTTTTCTTTTTCATATTTGGGTAATATTACTTCTGTGGTGTAAATGGTATTGCAGCTTCAAGGAGTTAGCTGGAAATCGACCTTTGTCAGAATTACGGACTGCTGATGAAGCTGCTGCAGTGGCAGATGTTGTTTCAGAGGCTACTGGTCTTGCTATTGAGGGAGAGGTTCGTCCTGATGGTGCAGAGAATTCTCCTAAACCTGTAAGTGCTGGCTTAACAGAAGCAGAAGAGTTGGAGAAGTATATCGCCATTAGAGAAGAGATGTATAAGAAAGCTAAAGAGTTCGATTCTAAGATCATTGGTTTTGAAACAGCTATCAGGAGGCCCTACTTTCATGTACGTCCCCTCAATGTTGGAGAGCTTGAAAATTGGCACAATTATTTGGACTTTATAGAAAAAGAGGGTGACTTAAGCAAGGTAACTGAGCTGGTTTCTTATGTGTGAATTCTATTCCTAGATTTTCTTGTTAAAGACTGACTTACAGTAAGTAATATCTGCTGTATATATGTTTTATTGGCTAATCCGTTGGATGAAGCAACTTTTTAATCGGGAAATTGAACTGAGACTAAAGCATGGGTCTTCAAATTGGTTTCTTGAGGCTAAGTACTTCAAACCCTAATTTGTCAATGGACATTCTAGGTTCGTCATGTGTTTGTAAAAAGTTTATTCTTTTTAAAGTGCGAATGTTATGCATGCAGGTATCTTATAATCTTCCTAATCATCTGTCTCAGGCAAGGAGGGTCCCTCCTTTCATATTTGAGGGGCCTCTCTGTCCCCCTAAGGAGTATTTCTTAATGCTTTGTATTTTCCTTTTATGCTTTATATTATTGATTTTTGCTTATGTATATATCATCAGGGACAATTTTTCTGACATTCTCTTTTATTTCTTTTTCTTTTTGTTGTGTGTAATTTAGATTGTCAAGTTGTATGAGAGATGTGTCATTGCATGTGCCAATTATCCTGAGTACTGGATACGCTATGTTTTGTGTATGGAAGCCAGTGGAAGCATGGATCTTGCAAATAATGTTCTTGCCCGGGCAACCCAAGTCTTTGTCAAGGTAATTTCTTCTAAATATCACAGCTTTGGGTCTGGGAATCACTAGCTGCGTTTAATCTTATGATCATCCCTTCAGTTTTTAAGCTTTGATGTGGAGAGCAATATATCTAATCTAATGGACTCCAGCACCTAGCCACTTGTTCATGTTGGTTTTTCATAAGTTCAATGGTTGGCTCTGACTGGGCTAATAGTTCATGAAACTTGTGTAATGATACATTGAAATATGTGTATGTTATTCAAACAAAAGTTGGTTATTGTTGATGCTTCAGAATATGGGCTTTCAGTGATGCCCTATATATTCATCTGCTTCTTGTGCTTTCTGACAAAGAAATAGATGGTAGCTGTATCCTTTTAGAAAAAGGAGCTATATGTCTGGTCGTCCTTTTTTTTTTTGGCTTGTGACTTCTGGGACCAGTTATCACTTCTAACATTTCTCAAAATATTGACAATTTTTTTTAGGTGACCGTTAATGGAAAAATGGTATTTTAAAGCTCTAAACTGGACTTTTATCTCTCTTCTATATGTGACAAATGATTTCTCTAAAGATGCTTTGTTGGCCGTTTGTATGTAATTAAAAGTTTACTTGTCCATTATTTATTTTCCCCTTGAGAGCCTTAATGAGCTGATAAACATGAATTTTATGTATATAGCTTTGTCAAACACCGATTCAATTCTCCTTTAGTTAGAAATGGTTTTGTATTTCTAACTCGCATCCCTCACTAGAATCCTTTACGCTTGAAGCATGGATAATCTGTAGGGCCATTTTATCTTATGTTTAAATTCAACTTAATTCTGAAGAATTGGGGTGGTAATGTTCATATTCCTGACCACCTGGTTATGGAGGCTTTGATCAATTTTCCTAAAAGCTTAACCTGTTTGGTCATATGTGGATGCCCAAGAGTTTCTTAATATCTCTAAAAAGTATTTTCTTGCTTGTCTGTGTGGGATATACATGTCTTCCATTTATAGGTTTTTTCTCTTGATTTAGAAAATGCAATATTCTAGTAGTACTTTTTTTTTTCATAAGAATAATTAGCATGTTGTCAAATTGTGCAGATTACAATCACAATTCAATTTTCTTGTCCCAGAGAGAATTCCCTTGAATTTTCTCCTATTTAATCATTTTGTTTTGCTTGTTATAATTCAGAGACAACCTGAGATACATCTTTTTTGTGCTCGGGTCAAGGAGCAGACCGGAGATATAGCTGGTGCAAGAGCTGCGTATCAACTTGTGCATACTGAGATTTCTCCTGGTCTTCTTGAAGCAATTATCAGGCATGCCAATATGGAATACCGACTGGTATGTTGACTGACGAAAGAGTGTTTAGATTACAGCTTTTGGACCAATTTCAGCTTAAATTGTTTACAGCTTTTCCATTCCTTGATATTACAGGGAAAGTTGGAGGATGCCTTCTCTTTGTATGAACAAGCCATTGCAATTGAGAAAGGAAAAGAACATTCGCAAACATTGCCGATGTTGTTTGCTCAGTATTCTCGATTTGTTTATTTGGTAGGTTCAAATATTCTCTTGACTTTTGTTCTTATTTAAAGCTGATCTTTGGTTGGTTGTGCATTTTCATTTCACCTCAGGATGTATTTTTCTTTTTTTTAAATTTAAATTTCTTCCCTCAGGTTTAGATGGTGAATACTGATAACCCCATTAATTAAAGTTAGCTACTTTTTTTGTTAACATGTCTGCAGTCAGAATGATTCTTTGAAAAGAATAACAACTTCAAATTTAAGATAACCATTTTTTTTTATTTCTTTTAACTGTTTCTATTTTACCCCTCTGTTTGCGTAGCTTGATACTGTGGAAATCATCTTGTCTTGTTCTTGAAATCCTTCTGTCACATTTTGTCATTAGGCTTCTGGGAATGCAGAAAAGGCGAGACAGATTCTAGTTGAGGGGCTTGAGAATGTTCTGTTGTCAAAGCCACTGCTTGAGGTCTGTCCTAACTTTCTCTTTCCATGGGGCTCTGAATTCACTTATATTATGCAGTTGGGGATTCTTCTCTTCATATTTCCAAGTGTTCTTCATATCTAATGATATTCTTTGGTTCCATGTTACGTGCAGGCTTTATTGCATTTTGAGGCTATTCAACCCCTGCCAAAGCAAGTTGATATTGACTATCTGGAATCAGTGGTTGTCAAATTCATAATGCCCAACCCAGAGAGCCATGGTGTAGCGAGTGCAACCGAGCGTGAGGAACTTTCTAGCATTTTTCTGGAGGTAAATCCTTATGAGAAGGACATTCTAGAATTTGTTACAAATGAGTTTCCTTGAGGAAAAATGTGTGTGTATAGAGAGAGATAGATAGATCGATATAAAATTGTTCCATTGAAAAAGACTTCATTCTAAATGGTTTTACTGAATAATTGGTTATTGAGAGTCCAGTGGGGTTGATTGATCCAGGTAAATGACTACACTCGATGGGATAAGGCTTTGTTGTTAGAGTAATGCTAGGGACATTCACTTTGAAAAATACACTTTACATCACTTCTCATTAGACCAATTTCTAACTTTTTTAATCAACAACCTACCTATGGTTAACTAATTGGTTTGTAGTAGGTGTTATGAGCTAATGGACTGTTAAATTGTTAAGTTAAAATTTGGTTATAAATAAGTTGGATGTTTGGTTAATGGATGTGATGTGAGGTGATGTGTGGAAGTGTGTAAACTCATTCTTGTTATTGTAGAAACGACAACTTTTTTTCTTCCTCATTCCATACTTTTTGAGGTGTTAGTGGCTTCAATATATTGGATGTAAATGAGCTCAAGTACGTGTTTTGTTTTAATTTGGTATATTGACCTAGTTTGACTAAGATTCTGAAGTTATTGAGCATTTTAAGCTGTGCGTGGATCATTTACATGTTGGGTTATAATAAGCCAAGAATTTGGAAGTTCAGATAAGGCTGGAAACAGAACAAGATTTGATATGGAAAATAATGATTAAAATGGAAGGTGAAAATTGTTCATAGGGAAAATGTAGGAGTGACTGGAGAGTTTAGCATCGAGGATACATCTCACTTCCCTTCATTTAACCTTTGTCTCTATAAACAGTGTTGCAATGCTGATTGATTTATAATACTGCAGTCAAATGCCATTGGTGGTATGATATGTATTCATTAATTCAATACATTTTCTACTGTGTGGTCCTACTATTTGATTTTTTTTTTATACATTTTTTTTTTCAGTCTTTTGTATGTCTTAATTGTTAATAGAATTGTGTTTCTGTTTCTTGAAAGACCTGCCTTCTCTGTTTTTCTTTTACCTTTTGAATTATAAGTTAGTAGTATTATTGGTTTCTTATGAACTTTCTGTTGATTTTTCCAGTTTCTAAATCTCTTTGGAGATGTTCAATCCATCAAGAGGGGTGAGGATAGGCATGCCAAACTGTTCTTGCCACATAGGAGCATGTCAGAGTTGAAAAAACGTCATGCAGAGGATCTCTTAGCTTCAGATAAAACGAAAGTGCCAAGAACTTATTCTGTTCCATCACCTGCCCAATCTCTGATAGGTGCATATCCAAGTGCACAAAACCAGTGGACTAATTATGGAGGACAACCTCAAGCTTGGCCACCGGTGACTCAAGCACAAGGACAACAATGGGCTGCTGGTTACACCCAACAGGTAGATTATCTTTTCATCGTATTTTCTAGTATGCTGCTTGAATTGGTTTTGTCTATGTGATCTGGGAGAAATTGTTTGTAAGTTAGTTAGTCTGTCAAATGCAATGTTAACTGCTTCTGTTGCTATACTTATTGATTAAAAACTGTGCAATATTAACCCCTTCTGTTGTCATACTTATTGATTAGAAATGGACGAGGGCACAAGACAGATTCATAAAGCCACATCATTAGGAAGGAGCATATTAGCATAGTTGAATTAGTATTTGTGCCTCTGAAATCATATTAATCCCTTTAATTTATATATGCCTTGTACCCGTATAAAACTGCTTGATGCATGTTTATCTACATGAAAATCATGTCATGAATAGGCACTTTATGTTATGCTTGACAGGTTTCTAGTATTGAAATGTCATACCTGTAAACTAGAATTAACATTTGTTGTGTGTCAAACATGGGTTATTGTGCTTCCTATTATCTTGTATAATGTGCGCATTTATTTGGATGTTATTTTTAATTAATTATTTAATGGTTCTTTAACAGAACCTCTTCAATTGTCTTTTGGTCAATTGTGTTATCATTCTATACACTTTTTTAGCTGCTTGATGAGGTCTCTTTGATTTGTTGCAGGCTTCTTATGGGGCGTATGCTGGATATGGGGTAAACTACGCAAACTCACAATTGCCTGCCGCAGTTCCACAAAATACTGCATACGGAGCCTATCCTCCTGCATATCCTGTTCAGGTACAAAGCAGTTTCAGCTCTTTAGTTTTGGTGATTATTTAGCCCTTGATATGTTCTTTGATTAGTAGTTACAATTCTTTTCTGTTGTCTCTCCATTATTCTTTTTTAAGAATTGAATATTCGTTTATGGTAGTGTTTATTGTAAATTTTGTTGTATTGAAGAAGGGAAAGTGGGAAAGAAATGGGAACATTCGAGTTCCTGAGGGGAAAAAAATATGTAATTGTGTTATTGTTGTAGCCTCAAGTTCTTTATATTTAGGGGCAAACCTGTGGGCACCTTGCGTGTCTGCCCTTCCATTTGTGGATTGAGTTGTGTTGGATTAGTTTTACTGCACGTAAACTTAACTTTCAGTATTATTTCTCATTTGATATCTGACTTCTCCAACTTTTGTGGTTGTCTCATTTCTATACATTTTACTAAACCATGGCATTATGAATTGTATTTAGTGTTGATTCTTTTGTATGAATTTCAGCCGGCAGTTCCTCAACAAAATTATGCACAACAACCTGCTGCAGTTCCTGCACAACAACCTGCTGCAGTTCCTCAGGCCTATTACGGGAGTTACTATTGAGCTGACAAAATGAGATGCCTACTGTTTTCGCTGCCTGTAATTTTTTCTTTCTTTCTCAATATTATAGGTAATTTGATATTAGGGAATTTGGAGCATAGATGTAGTGTAAACTTGAGTATACACTTAAGGTAGAAAATCATTTTGTCTGAGTTGCAATTGTATGTTAGTTAAATTTGGTTCTTAAAATTTTTTTATTCAGTATTTTTCTTTTCACTGGTCAGTGCTTGTTCTTTTCATTATGCGGAACCTATTCAATAACAATTTCTTCGATCTAATAGAAATGATGAAAATCTTGACAGCTGGATACTGTTTTTTTTTTTTTTTAATTTTGTTCAGATGTTTAAAAATTTTTAAAGTTAAATTTTAAAGTGTAGATAAAATTTATAGAAGATTTTGGTTGATCACATAATGTCATTTTTTTTCTCCCTTCCCAGTTATTTTTTCCCCTTCACGTAAAATCAGTTCTCATGATTGTCACAATTTTTATACGAGGAATGTCACTCTTAATTCATGTCCTTCGTTTGGTTGGAAGAAAAGTTTTGCAATAATATTAGGGTGTCAGTATAGCTTTTCAAAATTACTTCGCATATTCAAAAGGAGTACGTATTTTTTGAATTTTTGGGTTAACTATTTAAATATATCCGGCTTTGATAAAAATAGATCAGCTAACACGGTGAAAATACTTTTTTAACTTTGTCGAAAGTGATTTTGCTATGCATTATTCTTTACGTAATATACATTTTGATTTTTGACTAAGATTATTCTTTATATGGTTGACACAATCCGAAAACTTAATTTTAAATCTTGGTATGAGTAGTTCAACACACTAAAAAAAAAGTTCGTAAAAAAAAAAACACCATCCCTTAAAAGTAAGTTTCACAGTAATTGTAATATTTCGAGTTACGTTCAAAGAATGGATAGGTTTTTGAAAATAAAGTGTTTTGGATACAAAATTTCCATAAAGAAGAAGAAACAAAGCATTGTTTTGTTTATGACGCATACTAACGTATGTTTCCAAATGAAGCAAAATTTAGACCCATCCAAGAGCTAAGAGTAATGAATTCTGTTTTGATGATGATAAGTTGATAACGAACTCGGGAAAAAAGAAAAAGAAAAAAGAGAGAACGAAACGTAAAAAAAAAAGAACAAAACACAGAGTTTGCAGATCTTTGCTATAAGTCAAACCAGTTACGCACACGTCCATAGGATTCACTTGAAAACAATCTGACCCCTTGATGGTTTGATAACTTTATCCCAGACACCTAATCCAAGGGCTGCGATTTCGTGCGCACAACTCTTAGCCCATAGATTATATTTAAAAGGAATCAGCACCTCCCCCACTCTTTCCACTACCACTCTCTGCTCTCTCAATCTCAATCTCAATCTCCGATCTATTCATCCATATACATTACTTCACACCCTTCGTTCCTTTCATAACTCGTTTCTCTCTCGTACTCATCGAGTTCTCTCTTTGGGTTTTGGAAAACATCAACAACAGCAACAGAAGCTTTTTTATTATTTTATTTTAAAGTTCCTTTTTCTTTATTCCGCCTTCAGAGATTTAGGGTTTTTCGCACACTCATCCTTTTCCTGGATCTGACACCAGGGCTAGGATAAGCACTGCATGTTTGTTCTAGTCCATCACTGAACTCCACCAACACTATAATAATAATAAAAAAAAATGGCGTCTTCGTATCAACGTTCTGTTAGTGCTGCTCAGGTATTGTTATTGTTGTTGTTGTTGCTGTTGCTGTGTTGTTTGATGCTTTGATCCATTTGAAATGAATTGGTGTTTGTCTGCTTGCAGGTGGGTTCCTACTTCGTGGAACAGTATTATCAAGTTCTTCGCCAACAACCCGATCTTGTTCATCAGTTCTACTCTGATTCCAGCAGCATGATTCGCGTTGATGGAGATTCCACTGAAACCGCACCCGATGTGTTGGTAGGCGAACTCATACATATTGTGCAAATTATATTCTCTTTTGTTTCTGATGATTCTGTTTGCGATGTTGCCTCGCGAGTCGTATTAACCACGTTTACCAAATGAACTCATATTGGAAATATAACCCTTCAATCTCATGGAGCAACTCACAAATTTATGAGCAGAAGGAGAATATTTGGTATTTGTGAGTTGGGTGTTCAATTTAAATTGCCCATGTTATGTGAGTCATTTCCAACGTTTTTAGCCTCAACCATGTTAAAGGTCGCCGGGTTAGGGGTTCTGTACCTACTCTTTGTAGCTACTGCCTCTCTAGGCGTTTTGTACGGGAATAAGTCATGAGGATACTATTAAGACGTAAAGGTTCATTAACATCTTTTATTTTATTTAATTAGTTAAATTACATTCCTTTTCCCATTTGAATGACAGTACCTAAGCAGAGGGAGGATGTGAAGTCATCATTAATGTTATTGCGGGATGTGGACTCCCCCAACAACATTTGTTCAATGATGCACGATCAGTGCTTAGTAGTGTAGGTCTCCCTGTTTTTGTTAATAGCGTGATTTGTGCTTTAAATGACTTCTGCATAACAGAATAGGAGCAAAGATATGCATGTAAGAGTAAAAATATTGTTGAGATTAAAAGCGAATTGCGTTGGCTGAGGTTATAAATGAGTTTAGACTTTGGACTGCTAACTCTTTGTTGGTCTGGCGAACTTTTTTTTATTTTTAATTTTTGGTATAATGACTACTGAGATTGAAGATTAGGCTTGCAACCTGTATATGTTTTGGGAAAATTATAGAGCTTTTCCTGGTGGTTGTAGGCTTGTAGCAACTATACTGCTAAAAACCTATTCCATGGTGGCCATAGCCAGACATTGATCAGTAGATATTGATTTTATGTTGGTTTACTTTTAAGTGTATTTGCTGGTACTGATGCCCACTAATCGAAAGGGTTTATGCTGAATGCATCAGTTTTGATGATCTCAATCAACTTCTTAACAATTAGTGCTTAATTGTCATTTCAGCTTTTGATTAAAAAGCTTTTGCTTCTTAGTTAAATCGAATTCTGGTTTGGCAGCTTAGTATTTTTCTTTCAGATGCAACTTGTGGTTATCATTGGTGTACTCTTGTTCTACCTTTTTGGGGTAAAAATGCTTGCTGATGACTGATCAGTTTAAATTTCTCTGGTGCAGCAAATTCATTCAATTCTCACGTCACTGAATTTTAGTACAATTGAGATCAAGACGATTAATTCTCTTGACTCTTGGGATGGAGGTGTACTTGTAATGGTCTCAGGTTTTGTTAAGATGAAGGATATCAATAGGAGGCGGAAGTTTGTTCAAACCTTCTTTCTTGCTCCTCAGGAGAAGGGTTTTTTTGTACTGAATGATATATTTCATTTCATTGATGATGGAGTAACATACCCAAATCTGGTTTCAGTGGCGTCTGAAAGGATTGATGCACAACCACATGTATCTGCTTCTCTTGCTGAGTCACCGGGTAATTCAACTTCCGAATTATGTTTTCAAAACATTTGTTTCTTACTACTTTAACAGGAAATTGGTGTGCTGTAGCCTTTTATACAAACATTTAGTTAGAAGATTCATAGACTGTGCATCTAGTGGCATCCTGTTTAGCAATTATATATTTTTCCCAAAATGTCGGGCCTAGCAAAATAGGTTTCCTGGTGAATGATTATAAACAACTTTTATGTGCAACTTCGTTTTTCCAGTAGCTAAAAAGATGCATGCTTCTGTGACAAATTTGAAATTTTCTCAAAGCCATTCATCTTGTTTATTTTAAATTAAAATTAAATAGTGTGTAAAGCTTCATTTCTTTGGGTCCTGAGTATGTTATTTCAGAAGCTTTGGACTATGGTTTGGAGGAAGAAGCTAGGGAATATGTCAACTCAGTTCATATAGATGATCCAGTGGACAAGTATAGTCTTCCTGAGCAGCAGCAGCAGCTACAAGAAGATTTTGAAACTGAATTTGTGGTGGAAGAAACTCCTGCAGAGGAGGCTTGTCCACCAATTCAAAGTGTTGCACATACCATCCATGAAACGCCTGTTGTTCCTGTTGAAGATTCTTTCGAGGAGCCTCCTAAGAAAACTTATGCATCTATTGTACGTACAAGTTTTGGTATCTGTTTTTTGTTTGGCAGACTACTTGGTTTTTTGTAAATTTAGATTTGTTCCACTGTCAGTGTAAAAAGTAAAAACTATATACACTATCCATAAACAAGGTACCACACCATTTGAGTAACAAATATTTCACATGCAGTAGAAGTTTAAAAAATCTTTTCAGCTCTCTTTCATGTTCCCATAATCCTGATTTATTGAAATCTTTTGCAGTTTGGAATTTGTTTCGTGTGACACTTATTGAGTTCTCCTATGTACGTGAACTTGTGACAAAGCTATTATTGTTCATTTGACCGTAGGCAGAAATATTTTTTGTGGTCTCTTAAATGCTGAAAGAAAATCTAAACAGGAAGGGAGGCAAAGATTAAAGTCCTGAAGAAATACAGCTTCCTTTTTTATTAGAAGTTATTGCTTTGGAAGTTCCTCTTTTATTTTAGCATCTCTTTAATGAAATATGAGGAATAAAATATTGGAAAATTGTTAACTTACTGTCCTTTGTTGTTAGTTGAACTTAAATCTTAAGAAAGAGGAACATATTTTGCATTTTTGATGTTGTCTTAATCACGTTACATTGAACTTGCAGTTACGAGTCTCCAAAGGGCAATCAGTGTTGTCAGCTGCTCCACAACATGCTCCACAACATTCTTTTAAAAGCATCCCTCCTCCTTCAGAGTTGAATCATGTATCACAGCCTGTGGTTCAGCAGACAAGCTCTGCATCTATATATGTTTCTGAGTCTGGGGCTGAGGCAGCTGAGGAAGGCTATGGACTAGAAGAAGAAGGTTTATTTTTTGTTACTTTCCTCCTTAACTTTGTTCTATTTTGGCCTCTCCTAGGTGTACCATTTTGGTAATTGGTATGTAATTGTCAGATATTTTAGCTGACTGATATGATATTTTTCTTGGTATATTTGGTGCCTGTATATTTTTGAATGCTTATGGTATTTATGTTAATGATATGTGGGAACTTTTTTATTCATTCATTCATCTGGGTGAGATTTTGATTGCTGCATTTGCTACCAAGAGTGGGAACAGTTCTCTTAATTTTTTATACAGTCGTTCTACTTGTAGAAATATGTTATAGGCAAGAATCCTCTAGGCAGAGACAACAGAGCTTGTTAGGCATAAACGTTTTGATCCAAAGGAATTTTAGATATGAGATTCTAGTATTCTTTATGGTTAAATAGGTGCTTTGTTTTACCATTCTGGAAACTGCATTTTTGTAACAGTGTCGTGTGACTCGCATCATTTAAGATTTGAGCTTAATATTGTCCAAGTATTTCTAGTCTTAAAACATTAAGTTGATTTCTTATCTATAATTGTCCCAGGTGAAGTAACATCTGTCTATGTGAGAAACTTGCCTGCTAATGTAACTGAAGCTGAGATTGACCAGGAATTTAAGAATTTTGGCAGAATTAAGCCTGATGGAATATTCATTAGGGTCCGAAAGGTAGCTTCTCTTCTTGCATAAAACTGAATGCCCATGTACGCCACCATGGGAAAAAGAACAAGCTAAAGTTGAAATTGATTTATGCAGGAAATTGGAGTTTGCTATGCATTTGTGGAATTTGAAGACATTGTGGGTGTTCAAAATGCGCTTCAGGTTTGAATCCATTTTATTATTTTTTCTTGTTAAACCTCCTAACATTCATTTGGTTATCTAATTATTCAGTAAACGTTAAAGATAAGTGGATCTATTTGTTGTTGATTTGCTTGACTTAGCTTTCTGTTACAGAAAGTCTATAACATCAATTTTTCTATTCCTTAAAGTAAAAACCTCTCTTTGTTCCTTCGGTTGATTTATTGTCATCATCAAATGTTTTCATATGGCTACGGAGTTAATTTTGTGGACTTTCATTTTTTATTCTTAGATTTCATGCTTCTATTCCCTGTTTTTTTGGTTATCCTGTTTAAGAAAATCTATGGATGTAGTTTCATTAATTTTGTAGTGCAAGTTAAGTCCAGTATATATAGATAGATAGATAGATAGATAGAACTGTCCTGTTTAACATGATTTTTTGGTTGTCTCTGTCTTGATTATGCACTGTTATTGTAGGCTTCTCCCATACAATTGGCTGGAAGACAAGTATACATAGAGGAGCGGAGACCAAACAGTGGCATTGCAGCTCGGGGAGGAAGTAATGTCCTACTTTTTTTTTTTTTAAGTTTTATCTCTTATTCTTTCAAATAAGTTCTGTGAAACTGCTTTGAAATTGTTAGTCGGAAAGCTTTGAAAGGTGTTTGTTACTGCCATTGTGCCAAGTGTGCCTAACAAATAGGTGTGCAATAGCATTAGTGGTCAGAGTGGTGAACTTATGGCTGTACGTGCTTGGGCCTTGGGCCCTTGTTGTTGTGGTAGCACTTAGTATTTACTACTGAAATGCCGTTATACACCTATTAGATAAAGTACTAAGCTCTATACGACATGGCATATTAGTGCTCAGAGGAGACTTATGGCTGTACATGGTAATGACAATGGTTGTTGTGATAGTTTTTCACACCCACAGGGATATTGTTTGAATCACTTTATTCTGACTCTGCTATACATCATGGGATCTGAGTGTTATGGGATGTGATAATGATTGTAGTTTAGGTCCTTGATGATGATGGCTGGTGGGGAGCTGAAGTTTTATCATTAACTGTTTTTGTTGGTAATGAAATTTACACGTGGGCATAATTGTATAGGTTTCATTTAGTTGTGAAGCAGTGCTGTGTTGAGGACCTAAGATTTTAGGTTAGGAGATGATTAATGAAGGCAAAAGTGTTTTCCTGAAAGTTTTTGGCTTCAATTGTATTCAAAAGGAATAACTAATGCTGTTGGTACTTGCCTAGAAATTCATTGCAGCTGTAGCATTACTGATTTTAGGTTTCATTTAGTTGTGAAGCAGTTCTGTGTTGAGGACCTAAGATTTTAGGTTAGGAGATGATTAATGAAGGCAAAAGTGTTTTCCTGAAAGTTTTTGGCTTCAATTGTATTCAAAAGGAATAACTAATGCTGTTGGTACTTGCCTAGAAATTCATTGCAGCTGTAGCATTACTGATTTTAGGTTTCATTTAGTTGTGAAGCAGTTCTGTGTTGAGGACCTAAGATTTTAGGTTAGGAGATGATTAATGAAGGCAACAGTGTTTTCTTGAAAGTTTTTGGCTTCAATTGTATTCAAAAGGAATAACTAATGCTGTTGGTACTTGCCTAGAAATTCATTGCAGCTGTAGCAATACTGATTGTATTTGTCGCCTAATTTTTGTTTTGACATCAAATGAGGTTCTTAGTGTTGGCAACAAAGATTATCTTGCTTTTGTGCATCAGCCAAATGATAATTGTTTTTGGTGAATAGTGGTCATGGGTATGAAATGTGTTGTTTGGCATTTAAGACATTGTATTAGAATATGTCAAGAGTATGCGGGAGCCTGGGGTGCTAATCCTCAAAAACCCTGTATTGTTATTATTTTATGATTATTTTGGGTTGGGGGGGAGATCGTGTACTATAAATATATCTCTGAAGAACGAACATAAGCATGTATTTTTGTGGTAAAAGATGGACATTCGGGCAACATCTTCACTTCAAAGAAGAATAACAATTAGAAAATGTTAATATCGGAAATGGATAGAACTCATGGAAATATATGGTTGCAAATTGCAATGGAGTTGAGTTGGTATTTCCTTCGGTGAAACAGAATGGGGAAAGAGAATTTTTTAGGGAGGGCTTCAATCGTTTCCTTTTTTTGGTGTTTGATAAAAAAAGAGCTCCAATAGTTTTGTTGAGGGAATCATGGGGCCAACCTGGAATCGGCTTGAAGGTAGCATGGTTGTGTAATCATAGGAAGAAATATATTGAGGAAGTCCCACATAAACTTCAAAGCTAAGTGAAAGTTTTCTTTATTACATTCTAAATAGCACAAGTATATATGTTATGTAATTCTTTCCCCTTGCTCCAGACAAAGTATATGACTACAGGATTGCACATCCATAGTTGAATAGTTGTACTTAACAATAACTTCGAGGATAGGTGTCATTTATGTTAGTACTACAGTTTAACCCGTGTGGGTGACCAAAAGAATACTTGTAGTATCCAAAAGTTAATGCTGTTGAGATTCACTCGAGTATATTAAAAATAAAATGGTCATATCGGATTTGTTATGGGATTGGATTATTTTGGCCTTTATTGTGATCTATGCCCATAGTTTTTCTTTAAGGGAGGTTCCGTGGTAGATATGCAAAGAGAGTGGAGGTTTATTGTGAGCTTGTTTGTTTTGTACGTGCTTTATTCTTTTGCTTAGGTGAGGGACTTTTTACCTTATTCTTCTCCTCTACTGCTTGTTTCCATTCTTTAATAAGACTTCTATGCAGTACATAAAAATTGATTAGGAAGTGGTATCTATGTGGTATAAACTTATAATATTTTTAGGGCTCGTTTGGTGGACAGGATAGGATAAGGGTAGGATATGATATGAGACTGATAAGGGTAGGATATGATATGAAGCTGATAAGCCTATATCATGTCCTGTGTTTGATGAGCACATGATTAGCAATCTGATAAGATTATGTAGAAGGAGAAAGGAGAAAGAAAAAACAAAATATAATGCAATAAATACAAATATATTGGGTAGCGTGAGGATATATTGGGTAGCGTGGGGATATATTGAGTATCCAATATTGGTATCCTATCCTGTTGAATCCTAACCTAGCTCCCCCCATAGGATAAGAAATCATGTATTGGATAGGATAAAATGAGACAATAGGATAAGCTAATCATATCCTATTGACCCACCAAACAAGAGATGAAAATAGGATATGATAAGTTATCCTATCCTATCTTCTTTATCAGGTGCTCCAAACAGGCCCTTAGTATTGTCATTCTTTGGTTGTGAAGTTTTTAGTGATTTTGTTTTACAATGAAAATAGAAAACGATTGATATTAATTTCCTTTTGATTTTTGGGTGATTGATATCCATTCCCTTTGTATTGATCAGGAAGGGGAAGAGGCAGAGGCAGTTATCAAACAGATGCTCCAAGGGGACGTTTTGGTGCTAGGAGCTTGGGCAGGGGAAATAATCAGGATACTTCAGATTATACCAGACTAAGAGGCGATGGTTATCCTCAGCGCGGTTCTCGATAGAAAGATATCTTAAAAGCATGCACGCAGATGCTATTCAAGCGCTTATAAATTAGTGAGATTTGAGCTTGATGTGGGTATTTAAAGCAGAGCATTTTCTTTCCGTGGTTTCATAAAAAGGTGTCTTGCGTTATCGGTGTGTCTTTTTTTAAGTTAAAGCCATAGACTTCAGTAACTTTTTCTGCAAGTATAGATCAGACAGTTCCCTTTGAATGTTTTTTATTATGCCATTCAGGTGGGAAATTTTGGTTATTTGTGGTTGCCCCATATCAGGATTGTGGGGCTTTTTAATGAGAGAAAGGGTATTGAAAGGAAAAAATGGTTTAGACTACAGTAGAGGTTGTGCTAAATTATCCAGATGTTACGGTGCATTCTTGTGTTTTTTTTTTTTGGTTCTTTGCCTTTGTTAAAACTTGTTTCAATAGTATAATTTAATGTTTTCTTCTGATTTGGTTTCCATTGTTCAACATGGGGAAAACAAACCCTTTATTTCAATGACTAATTTTTCCGTGAAAACAACTAAAATATATGCTTTATCCCAATTCCTATGATGAGAAATCTTCCCAAAGATTGGTATCCATTTTTTTAACTTGGTCTTGGAACACCCAGACATCACAAAAGAATCCTGTTATAGTACAGTTTTATGATTTGTCATTCGTGATGCTCTAATTTGTTCTCTGCTACATATGGTTGGTGCGTGAGACGAGATTTTGTTAGAATATGCAAACCCTAATCAAAGATAAATTTTATAAGTTTGTAGGTCCTGTGCGTTCATTTTAGGTATAAGGAAAACGGTGGCTATTTTTTTTATTAAATTTTGCGATTTCACTCAATAGAATGGAGTTGCTCCTCGCCCTTTGTAAAGTGGTGACATGGATAGGAGACTGTTTTTTGCTGGTTGCAATTTGGCTTGAGTGTTTCTACACAAGTGAGCAAAATATTGTGGCACCTATTCAACAAAGAAATTTCAACCTTATCTATCTCTCACCTCTCCAGCCAAGAACATAGCATTGACAATATTCTCCATACTGAGCCTACACCTTTCACATCCATTGCTGAGATATCTTGAGCGTGTCTGGATCAAATAATTGATCCCCAACTTTGCCCTTTAGTGAAAACTCAGAGCATAGATTAGTTTTTTAAAATTCCCTTCAGATTGAGGTCTTCAAGAGCCATTCTTGAGTGGTGTGTATTTTGCAAGGTCTGGCTATTGGATCATTGTTTGGTTACTTTCCCTTTTAATACCTCCTAGTGTAAAATTGCTGTACGAAACCAAACCCTCACTTGTTCTGTGTCCTGACTCCTGATATCTGTAAAGAAGTGACTTCATATGTTGTTTCCTCAGTCCAGGTCATTTTCATTTTTCTTTAAAGAAGTGTCTTTGAGGCAAATCAAGACAAGTTATCAGTACAAGCCCCAAATATGACATGTCATCGGTGAGTACGTTGATTAACTAAATGGTTTGCGTACAAACTGTAGCACGCATCATGACCAGCGCTAAACATAACCTTAACATTAATTAGCCTAGATTAACTATCACAATAATGCATTTATCTATTACTAACTCAAAACATATGTTTCAAATTTATGAAAATTACAAGTAATTTTGCTGGTAGAAATGATGGAGTAACTATAAGAATAATTGTGACCTGAGGAGCCATGAATAGAGCACTCATAATTGCTGCCTGAAGTCACTTCCATCTCTCGAAAGTTATAGGAATATTTTGAGGTGTGCTTGCTACAACGCTAGTAACAATGATTACTTATGGAATTCGGAGAGTACCATTTCTCATATTCAGATCAACTTGATTAGTAGGATTTACAATAAATACTTCCCATGTATCCATCCATCGATTTGCTTTCAGTTCCGTTCTTCTCAATAACAAAATACAACTATCTGTGCAGACCATAACTCTCCATGTCCAACAACGAAATCAGTAAAGGATTATGCAACATGGCTCGAGGCACTGCCTTGAGGTTGTTAATGTCTCTATGCAACCACAATAAGAAAGTAGCAAGACTATCCTCTTAGACATATATAAAACTATTAATGTAATTTCTCACTCAGCAGTTTAAATTTTTGAATTGAAATGATTCTTTACACAATATCAGAGCTTCGGAGTTACGAGTTCAATCTTCACCGCTCCATTTAATCAATAATTAATTAAGTTTTATGAAGTTTATTAGCACAGATAGGCTGGACCTGATGCATTATCCACCCTTCAAGTATAATGAGATCTCGTGTGAAGGGACGTGTTAGAGACATATAAAACCAACCATTAATGTAGTCTCATCCAATAACTTAACCTTTTGAGTTGAAATGATTTTTTACTATCAAGTAGGTAATAATGCAGTTGTGTGTTTCTCTGAAACGGCATCTAGCTATGGGTTGTGTGAGGGTGAATTAGATGAAGATGAAGGAGACCTGAGGCCAGGCCATTTACAACAACAGAGATTGAGGTTGACGTTGATAAAACAAAAAGTAAAGTGAAATAACGTGAAAATGAGGTGTTGTCTGCCAAAGACTAAATGATGAGGTGAGTGTTTCTCTCTCCCATAATGCATCAAAGTTTAATAGGAACGGTCCATTGGAATTGGAAAAGGCTAATCTTTGTATCACTTTCACCCCAAGAGGGCCACTAAAAGGGGCGTTTTTGTCATCAGAAAGATGGTGGGGTCGAAGTTGATGTCAATCAGGGAAAGGATCCATGTGACTATAATTTGGAGCCATGCGCTAGAATCACATTAAAACATCTTTTGCTGTTGTCGTTTATTCTTCTTTCCCTTATTTTATTTTAATGAAAAGCTATCTCTATTGTATCTGTAGAGGGTGTTACACAAACTCAAAGTCAAAGTAATAGATCGTTTTTTGATTTCAGTTAATAAAATGTGCTCACTTATCAACAGAACACATTGGCTTCAATATAAGAATTTCAATACATCTTAAGACACCCTTATGTACTTAAGAAAATGTTTAATGGAATTGGTATTTCTTCACCAATTTATCATATATCATATCTCCATTAAGCACCTGCAGTAGCCATAGCTCCCTGACGAACAAGTGGTGGTAAACATTGTGGCTCATTGCAATCATCCTCGGCTTCCTCTGTGTCCCAAAGGAAACTAGCATATGCTGCATGTACATGGCTGATATCATGAACCAAAAGCTATTGTCACAATGCATTCCCAATATATAATAATCTAACAACTTGCTCTAAAAAGTACAATAAACTGAATGTTATAAAGCACATGACATACCTATCTTCAGGAGAGGCTTGGACTGCTCGTTCAAAATAGCTAGAGGCTCGTTCTTCGTCATTATGAAGCTCCCAAACTAGCTTCCCATACTGTGATAACACTTCTCCATCTTTTGGGTCAGCTAGTATGGCACGGGAATAATACTCCTCAGCTCCTTCACGGTCTTGTTTGCACTGTCAAAAAAGACAAAAAGAAATTTGCAATCATCACCAAAAGCATTCACTAATAAAACCTCTCTTGCAGTATACAAGTATTGGGAGATAAAAACGATTCTGATTTAAGTTATCTTGAAGAGTTGTAAAAATAGCGTAGTAACACCCAACAAATAGGTTATCATAATGAGTTATTCAACAATTGATGAGTTCTTTTCAAACAGAAGGAAACAGAACATACCTGATATAAAAACTGAGCATAATTCCTCAGAAACAATGGATTCCCAGGATTTTCCTCCACCATTTTCTTATAATATTCTTCCACCCCATGCCTATCTCCATCATTCCCTCCAGAGGAATTACAATCACCACCTCCACTGCCTCCACCACTACCTCTGCAGCCACCTATGCCTTTACCACAGCCATCATTATCAATGCCAAGACCCTTTGCAAGATACATTTCTTTACCACCAACCTCTCCCTTGTCAGCAAAACCCACCCTGAAAAGCCCCTCCTTCACTCTCACTTCTTCAGTCAATATCATACCATAGCCACTATTCAGCACACTGAACCCATCACCTTTTCCTTCCATTTCCCTCTTCTCTTCCTCCAACTCTCCTATTTCTTCCTCATCTTCACTGTCACTTTCCCATTCTTCATCTTCCTCTTCTTGACGCAAGCCTTTGTGCTTAGAAATAGAGAAAGATGGAATGGTCTCCAGTGCCATGCATCTTTGTCTCACTGAAAACCTCTTAGGAGGGTCTGCATAATTAAATCTGTCTTCGTTGTTGTTGAAAGAAGAGTAGGCTAAGTCTTCCAAGTTCCCTTCAGATTGAACTCTTCTGAAGCCTTTGTTTTGCCTTTCAAGTTCAGCAATGGAGGGGGAGATTGGAGAAGAACTGCATGAGAAAGTGGAGAGACTGAAGGACCCAGTTTGATGTAAAGACAGTTTGTGGTGATGTTGTGGGACACTAGTAGGTGGTAGATGCTTGAGTGCATGGCAGGCTTCAGTGTGAATACTATTACTAGGAGTATCTGTGATGGAAGAGAGAAGGGAACCAAGAACTGGTGTTGAAGAGCTTCTTAGCAACATGCTTTCTGGTTGTGGATAGCTTTTATGTGGCTGTCCCTTGCTTTTGGAGAAAAAGTATAAAACACTGAGGAAAAAGAACAGAACTTGTAAATTACTTCTTCAAGAACAACACTAAATAAGATAAAAGCACATAGATTGTTGAAACAGAAAACTAAATGGCAAAGTAATGATGCTGAGCAGATAACAAATTGATTTCACCAATGAAGAAATGTTGGGGTTGAGGAGGAAGGTGAAGGAGAAGAAAGCAATACCCTTTTCAGAGATGCTGAAGAGTCCTTGATGAACCTCTATGCAATTTCAGATGACCAATGGAAAGGAGAGATTTTTCTAGCAGCAGACAACTATTTGGACAATTTCATACATAAACCAGTTCCCTTATATAAGGGATAGGACTGTGGTTGAACCCTCACATGTGAATCTGAATGGTGAAAAGAGGTTTGTTTGGGTATGGAATGAGTGGTGGACAAGGCATTTGGATCACATTTCATGTGGCTCAACTCGGAGCAAAATATCAACTTTAGAGCAAAATATCAACTTGGTCACTCTTTTTTGTTTTGTTTTTTGGTTTAGGGAACGGTGCAAATGGAAAGGACCAGAAAAGTCACAACTCACAAGTCTTTCTCATTAAATACATGAAAATGTAATAAAACATGAACCAAGTACTACCAACCTTCACATGAAGAGCATATCCTCCATGCAATTGGGATCTTATTCTTAAGTAACATTCAATTCAAGGTTAGCAAAGGAAAATGTTCATGGAACTAGGATGCACGTTTTAATTGACACAAGCTTCTTGTCCGTACACGTGGTTCTTCTAGTTCTTTTCCCGCGTCTTGGATTATTCTATTCTCATAGTTGACACCTATCAATCTTCCCAGAAATTCTACTTTGGGGATTGGGGTAACAAATTCCTTATACAATTCATTAATAGAAGAAAAATAAATACTTATTCAATTTTGGAAGTTGCTATCGAACCTTTCGTTTATATGGTTTTTTTCTTCATTTTACATTTAATTATCATCAAGCACATAAATTTTAACAGGGTTGTTCCACCTTAATTAATATTCTCGAATTCAAATTTAGATACTTAGTAAGGAGATTTTTATTGCTCTTGTAATTTTTTCGACTAAACCAAATTAATCAAATAATTAGTGAATTGAGAAAGAAGTTAAAAAATAAAAATAAAATGAAATCTTTTTTAAAAAACAACACATCAATGGATAGTACGTACATTTTTGAACGAATAATTAATTATTTAGAAAATATTATATTTTCATGAAAAATATTTGAATAGAATTGTTTTCATGTATCGTGCCCAAAAAAAAATAATATGGGATAAATTATTATAGGAATATGATATAAAGCCTATTTTGTATGTTTATTTTACCTATTACTTTATGATAACGTTAGATCATAATTTTAACTAACAATGGGAGGAGAAAAAAATAAATAAAAGTCAATTAAGATTGTGATCTAACAATAAAGAGTAATACATAAAGTAAACATAAAAAAATAGACATAATATCATATCTCATTATTATATTAATTCTCAAACTTTAGCACCAAACTTCATATTAGTCTTTAAACTGAAAAAACTCAGTTGGAGGATGTTGAACATGGGTCTTTGAGACTTTGACCAATTAAGAGTTTTTCCCATTTGAATGCACCAATTTAATATCTTATTGAGAGATATTACTCTTTGGGATTTTTAAGTGCGGTGGGGAGAACCCAACGGCTCTAACCCTCATTTAAATTTATTAAATCTGTCTACGTTGTTATTGAAAGAATAGTAGGCTAAGTCTTCCAAGTCCCCTTCTGATTGAACTCTTGTGAGGCCTTTGTTGTGCCTTTCATTTTACATTCTTAAAAGAAAATTCCTTATAAAATTTATTAGTAGAAGAAAATTTAATTACCAGCAATCACGTAAATTTTAAGAGAGTTGTTCCAGTTTAATTAATAATCTTGAATTCGAATCTAGATACTTAATAAAGAGATTTTTTATCGCACTTGTAATTTTTCCGACTCTTGATTGAATAATTAATGAACTAAGAAATAAGTTAAAAATAAAAACAAAACAAAATAAAATCTTTTAAGAAAACAGCACGTCAAAGGGTAGTATGTACCGATGTTGATAAACCTAGATCGGCTCGCCCGAGTCGATCTAAGAATTGATAAATTAGTCATATAACGAGTTTGAGTAAAGTAGCGGATCGGCTAAGCATTGGAACTAGTGTGATCAGTGCAATTCAGCCGATTTTGGTAAAAACTAGTGGTGTTCATCAACCAATCCAAACCGCGGTGACCGAACCGAAAAATCGATAACCGAATAAACCGAAAATCGAAAAATCGAAAACCCAAAAAAAACTACAAATTTTAATTGGATTGGATCGGTTTTCGGATTGGTTGATGAAAACCGATCCAATCCAAACCGATCCAATATATTAATTCCCCTCTACCTACTTGGGCCTTTCCCCAATCATAGCCCAAAAATTTCTAAACCCAAAACCCATTAACCCATCAACTAAATTCAATAAAAGGCCTAATTACATCTCATCAATAAAATTTCATCTATGTAAAATTTCATATCTCATTGCTCAAAAATAAAACTATATCATCATTACTGATGCTTTCGTATTTAATTTTTTTTTACAAAGTCAATATATACAAAAAAAATGTTATTTGCACAATAATCATGAAATAAATTTTAGGATTTTAAAAAAAATCGAAAATCAATCCAATCGAAACCGATAAAAATTGGATTGGATCGGATCGGATTTGAAAAAAATCCAAACCAAATGGATGATTACATGATCAAACCGAAGAAATTGGATCGGATGATTTTTGCTTCCAAAACCGATCCAATCCAGACCGTGAACACCCCTAGTAAAAACCGGTGACCCGGTCAGTTCAACCAATGATCCGACCCGATTCAAAAAAAAAATGCATAAAGGAAATCATTTTGTTAAATTCATAAGTGGTTTGTTTTATTTTGAAATATTTGAGTAATTTGTTGTTTATTGACTTAAATAAGTTATGTACTTATAACATTAATATTATCTTGGTTATGCACTATACAAGGAATTTTGATTTAATTTATAGCTAAAGATGTCATCTACTGAACTGGAAGCACCAGTATTACACGTTATATATTTTTGTTTGATCCTTTGTTGGATAATATGTGTGATTTATTATTTTTCAAATTAAAATATTTAAAATTGATATTATTTTTTATAGGTATTTGAGTATGTTTATAGTTTTTAATATAAATTATAGATTTGCAAGGTCATGCGATTGAACTAGTAATCCAGTGTCTCAATACTTTGACCAAGTCAATGATTAAGCCAGATTTAATAGCATTGGTACGTATATTTGTGAACGAATAATTAATTGTTTAGAAAATATTATATTTTCATGAAAAATATTTGAATAGAATTGTTTTCATGTATTGTGCCCCAAAAATATATAAATAAAAGTGTTGCCATATATACAATAAAACATGGGTTATATTTATTTTTTGTTGTAGAAAAATAGTTATCTTATGTTATAGAAATAAAATTACAAGTGGAGTGGGATCCACATGTAAGAGGAGAAAGAAAAATAGATGTGGGATCCACATTCATTTTGTGTGTGTAAGAATTTTGTTTATCTTATATAACATAAGATAAATATAACCCATAAAACATATGGATAAATTATTATAAGGATATAATATTATGTCTATTTTTTTATGTTTATTTTACCTATTATTTTTTAATACCATTAGATTAATTTTAATTGACAATTGGAAGAGAGAAAAAAATTTGAAAATCAATTAAGATTGTTATCGTGTTAGAGAATAATACATAAAGTAAACATAAAAAAATAGATATAACATCCTATTTTATTATTATATTAGTTCTTAAACTTTACCACCAAACTTCGTAGAAGTCTCTAAATTGAAAAGCTCAGTTGGAGGTTGTTGAACATTGCATCTTTCAATCATGTTAGTCTCAGATGTTAGATGACAACTGTTTGATGTAATGGACATGCATGGTTCGTATCTTTAAGTAGTGGCATGGAATTGAACTGAACTGTATTTAAGCAAACTAGCTTCTAAAAATCAATTTTTTAACTGAATTGCTTTTTAAAAATTAGTTCTTAAATTGGATTATTTTTGAAAAATCAATTCATGAATTGAACTATTTATGAAGCGAAGTGATTTTCAAAACTAGTTTAAGAACCAAATTGCTTTAAAAATCATGAATCAAATTGCTTTTATATATATATATATATTTTATCTCTATTTTTCTTCATTATTTAGTTTGTTCTTTCTTTTATCTTTTTTTGGTAGATATTTTTTTTTATCTTTACTTTTATTACTTTATTTCTTTAATTTTTATTTTTTCTTATGCACTTCTCTCTCTTATTTTTACTTTATTTTAATTGTTTATTGCTTTTTTTTTTTCAAATTTATGGTATTATTTATATTTATATTTTATTTTTATTTTTTCCTTAACATTTTCATATGGTTTTAGAACTGATTCAAAAATCAGTTTTACGACTGTGGAAAAAGAACCACAAAAAATATTACACTTAAAAAAATTATTTTTAAAAATTAGTTCTTGAAATGAAAACCAGATCATGAACCAAATTGATTTTTTTTCTATTCTTTTCATTTATTTTTCTTTTTTCTCTATATTTCTCTTCTCTTGTTTATTTATTTACCGTCTTCTTTTTTTCTTTATTTATTTTCTTTTCTTTTCTTTTTTTCTCTTATGTATTTTTATTTTTAAATATTTTTTTTTAATTTTTAGTATCATTTATATATATATATATATATATATATTCCTTCAATTTCTTATATAATTTTTATTTGGATTCAAAATTGATTTTAAAAACTAATTCATAACTGGTTCTGAATTGAATCAAACTGGTTATAAACCAATTCAAAACTGAACTAAATTAATAAACTAATTCAATTTTAAGAACTAAATTATTTTTTCTAATTCAGTTCGACAAAAAAACCAAATCGAATTGAACCATGCACTCCATTACGATTATGTGTCACATGGCAATAAAATGACCTATGACTACGTGTGACGTGGTAAGAGCGATAATAACAAAACAAAATAGTCCCTGAATTCTAAATTTCCAAATTGTGCCATATTGGTGCAACTGTCTTCTTAGCCTTTGACGGGGAAATGCAAGTAGATAGAACTTAAAACAAGGGTTCTATTTTTTGAGAGAAAAAAAATTGATGCATGAGCTTAAAAGCTTATAAAAATCCTAGAGACACACGTGCTGATTTGGTATATATAAAAATTGAATGATGACATATGAAGGAATAAGGATACAGCTTGAGAATACATAAAGATTCAACTTTTTCTGTCAGTTAAAACTGTACTAAACATTATATTTTGTTCATTCAATCATAAATTGGCATAAGGTAGGTTTTAACCATTTACAACTTCAGCTGGCCAATCTCAAATGCCAAGATGC